TGACTGACTGACTGACTGACTGACTGACTGACTGACTGACTGACTGACTGACTGACTGACTGACTGCCGCTTGCGGTGAAGAACAGAGGTGGGACAACGCATTAAGGGCAGGAAGAGAAAAATTAGAGAAAACACTAGTGCGTAGAATGAAACATCATCTTAAGGAAAAAGTTGAGGAAAGGGAACTCGACAGAAGCTTACAGAAGAGGCATAGAAAGACAAGAGAGCATGCTAATCCACGTCGCAGCAGGATACATGTGGCACCTGAAATTTCGGAATGACGTAAAAAGGAGTAAGACAGAACAAAGGCAAAAAACGCAAAAAAACGGAATACAAGCAATCGTTTAGGGTTAAAAACAGAACATAGCAACGTGGTAGATGGTCTTAACAAGATGGCGAGTTTAAAAAAGTCTATAGGACAAGCAAACGAAAACATGCATGGAACGAAATGAATTCAACTAAATGATTTAAAGTACTGAAGAAGTGAGAGGTATAATCAGACAGCGCAAAACGCGTACGACAATTAATTGCCTACCGCAAGGAGTTACACCTTCGGAATTAAAAATGCAGACGGAACGGGAGTCGCAGAAGACAGCATTCAAATGGAGCGTTAATGATGCTGTGAAGTTATTTGACTGATTCACATGCATTTGTTTTTGTTTCACCAAGTTAGAAGCAGCTGCCTTGTTATTCGCTGAAAAATAACGAATTAACTCTTGATAACCTGTTTTAACTTATTTTGGCGTTTTACCCTCCAATTCCGTTCTAGCAGTATAACGAGCATTTGCTATGTAGTAGGAACTGGTTTGGACGTGACGATCATTAGTCTATCATCTTTTTCTACCACGATGTTTGCGATGTGAGCTATTTGTTCATCATTGCACCTACCCGGTGATAAATCTAAAGTACGATGATTAGTTGTTTTGTACTTTCTCGAATCGGCATTGTGGTGAGGCCTTGCTCATTGGTAATATCGCATTCGCTCTTACAGCTGATCTCGGTTGCTGATTTTAGTTTAATCTGACGCTACATATTCATGAATGCCGCCATGTTGGCACCGCCGCTGACTCTATGACTGCTACCAGTCTCAGAACAGCAATCCTGGATGAGGCACTGAAGTTCGTTCCAGCACTTGGCTGGACAAGCGAAGCTGTGGGAGCAGGTTCGGTGACCAGTTATTTTTGTACCTTAAATGACTGTTTCGTTTCGAACTATTGCATGAATCGGCGAATTTGTTACATGTCCGATTTGTTATGTGATCACGCATGCACACTATTAGTCTTTGCCAGTACTCATTTTTTCAGTAGTCAGGTAGGGTAATTCATCGAATTTGGGCACCGAGTAAGGCACAGATAGCTGTACTCAGTCATCTCTGTACTGACATCGTGAACATCAACGGTAAGTGTCTGTTAACCTTTTGCATCACAAGTAGTTTAACCCTCGACAGGGTCATTTTCCGTCATAATTGCATTCACTAAACTACTAGTGCGGCAGCTGCTGGAGGCCTAAACGACCAGCTGGGCCACGTAATCATCAGCCACAAATGCTGCAGCTCTTTACTCGATTCTCGCATTACCCGTGGTTCCTGCATTGAGTCTAATCACCTTATAGTCATAGCGGAACATCGTCGTCTAAAATTATCCTTATCACCTCGGTGCCGTGTGGTTGAAGCACATCGGCGATTGGATGTTGACAAGCCTATATATGGCGAAGCGGCGCGATAGTTGTTACAAACGGATATAGACAGTCATTTTGATGATACCCATAGTGCCCATTTGGGAAATGACAGTATCGAAAGTACTTTCAGAGGTATGTAAAGAAGAAGCCGTCCTTTTCTAAGCAAAAAATGTAGTTGCGGCCACAAAGAGTATAATTAAACAGACCTAGGTTATGTAGAAGGCTGTAGCCCTTGTTCTGCAAAATAATCAGTGAAAGAATGAGTACTTGCAACACCCTACTGTGCCCTCCAATGCAGCTGGCCATAATTTCCTTCATACTGTCAATCAGAGCTACAGGCGGAACAGGGAACCTTAGTTGGAAGGGGAAACTCAGGAAGATCGACGATGCAGCCAGGAAGGGTAAGTGGCGAACGGTGTTCAGAATGGTGTGACAGCTGTCCGTTAAGCACAGGACTCGGTTTCTGTTTATCAAAGACTGAAAGCGATTAGCATAATATTTTGTAAATATCCTCGATGAAAGATTTTCATCTTCCATCGCTGCTTCTCCTTTCGGGTCGCGGAGGCAAGCGGGTCAGACAGTTCTTCCAACGTTCACGATCCTGTGCCAGAGTCTGAGATGCAGCAGAGGACAGCTGGAACAGACTTCTTCCATATATCTTCACCAGAATAAGAACCATATAGTACTGGATGAAACTAGTTAATGCAAATTTCAGGCGACCGAAAATAGGCAAACTGTGTCAACCCTGGTCAAATTTTTTTGAAAAATCTGTCTACGCATGCTGCACGAAACGCATTTTGTGTAATCGGGAGAGAAACTGCGTATCATTTGTTCCGTATGTTCCTCTTGTGATATCGGCCCTTACGAAATACAGCAAAAATGAGGATACACTCATTTAAGCTAACATTTACGCTGGGAAATGTACTTTTTACCCAGTTTTTCTTCAGTGGTTGACTGAGTCTCCATTTATAAGCTAAGACTGTTTTCAAAATCTCCTATGCCTTTGAGGCATAGATGCTGTATAAGATTCGTAAAATAAAATCCTTCCAATGTTCTTTCAGCGTTGAAAAGGTTATTGTTTAAAAACACCGTGTCACCTTGAAAGAACCTATGTTTCTAGGGTGTTCATGTAACTTTGTGCCACCAGTACCCCTAATGTTGTTGTTTTGTCATCAACTTTAGCCGCTGTGCAAAACCGCAGTCTGCCTATGCATGCGTTCGCTCATCTCAGCATTTCGTTTTTTGATAATAGTACTTGTTCAGAACGTCGACGAAGAAAATATTACTAGTCGAAGTATGATGTGTTGTTCAAAAGTAGTACATGTGCATTGCGCATATTTTAATTGTTTTCTTGAATGGAGTTACGTCTAGGTTGCTACAGTATGCGACTGAAATGAGAATTGTACATGTTAACAATGTCAACTTTGTTTCATAGGACTCCATTCTTCATAGATCGCGTAAATTTTCTCCTATCTG